AGAGACAGAGCGTCACTTTTGCCCTTGGTAGAGTGCTGTGGTGTCACAGCTCACAGCAACCTCCAACTCCTGGGCTTAGGAGATTCTCTTGCCTCAGCCTCTGGAGGAGTTGGGACTCCAGGTGCCTGCCACAATGCCTGGCTATTTTTCTTGTTGCAATTTGGTCGGGGTTGGGTTTGAACCCACCACCTCTGTATATGGGGCTGGCGCCCTACCCACTGAGCTGTAGGCGCCACCCTATTTCAGTACTATTTGAAAAGACTATCATTTTATCATTAATTGCCTTTGTACCTTTATCAAAAATCAGCTAGCCATATTTGTGTGGTTCTATTTCTGTATTCTTTTTATCTGTTCGCTTCATGTATTTGTCTGTCTTAATGTTAATATCATACTGTCTTGATTTTTGTAGCTTTATAGTAAGTCTTGAAATCAGTAGTGTTAACTGCCACATTTTGTTTTTTTTCAAGTTAGTTTGGTTATTCTAACTCCATAGCATTTCCATATGAATGTTAGAATCAGCTTGTCAATTTCTTCTAAAAAGACTGCTGGGATTTTGATTAGAATTTTATTGAATCTGTGGAGATAACGGATATCTTAACAATATTGAGTCTTTCAATTTGTAATCATTATATATCTCTCCACTTATTTGAATCTTCTTGGATTTATCTTAGTAATTTTTTGTAGTTGTTAATATAGGAATCTCACACATCTTTTTTCATACCAACTCTTATATATTTCATATATTTTGATACTGTTATATATGGTATTTTTAAATTCTTTTTTTATTATTAGTTGCTAATATATAGAAATATAGTTGATAGTTGATTTTGTGTATTGATCTTGAATTCTGCAATCTTGCTAAATCACTTATATAACTTCTAGTGCTTTTTTAATTTTTTCTTTGAATTGTCTATGTACATGATCATGTTCTTTGTGAACAATGACAGTTTTACTTCTTTCCTGCCAATCTGGATATTTTAATTTCCCCCCTTTATTTCATGGGCTAGAACCTCTAATACAAAGTCAAATAAAAATGGTGAGAGTGATCATCCTTTCCTAATTTCTGACCTTAGAAGAAAACATTTAGTCTTTTTCTATTATATATGATATTAGCTATAAGTTTTTTTTTTTTTTTAGCTGTAAGTTTTTTATTAGGTTTGGGGGATTCTCTTCTATGCCTAGTTTGCTCAGAGTTTGTTTTTTTTTTTTTTTCCAGATAGAGTCTCAGTCTGTTGCCTAGGCTAGAGGGCTGTGGCCTCAGCCTAGCTCACAGTAACCTCAGACTCCTGGGTTCAAGTGATCCTCCTACTTCAGCTTACTGAGTAGCTAGGACTATAGGCATAAGCCATAATACTCAGCTAATACTTTCTATTTTTCATAGAGATGGGGTCTAACTCTTGCTTAGACTGTTCTTGAACTCCTGAGCTCCAGGGATCCTCTCATCTGGGCCTCCCAGAGTGCTAGGATTACAGGCATGAACAATGCCTGGGAGACAGTTTTTTTTTAAAAATCAAGAGTAGGTGTTAGATTTTGTCAAATGGTTTTTATGCATCTATTGAGATGATCATAGGTTTTTTCTTTTAGTCTCTCAATGTGGTTAATTATGTTGATTGATTATTGTAGCTTCATAATAAGTCTTAAAATCAGTAGTTAACCCTCCCATTTTATTCTTTTTTAAGTAGTTTGTTATTCTAACTCCTTGACATTTCCATGTGAATTTTAGACTTAGTTGTCAACTTTTACCAAAAAGACTGTTGGGATTTTGATTGGAATTTTACTGAATCTATAGATCAACTTGGGGATAATTGCTATCTTAGCAATATTGAGTCTTCCAAATTACCTTACATACTTGGTATAAACCCTACTTAGTTGTGATGTATTATATATTTTTTAAGTAAATGGCTTACATTGTTTGATATTCATTTTGTAATTGTGGTAAAATGTACATAACTTAACAATTTGTGGTTTAACAATTTAAGTGGCAATAGTACATGCGCATTGTTGTATAACCATTATCACCATCTATCTCCAGAGCTTTTTTCCTGTGTAAAACTGAAATTCTGTACTCATCCAGGGTTGTCCAACCTGTGACCTGAGGGCTGCATGCAGATTATTTGAGGACTGTTTTGCTTATCTCTGGGGTCAGACATTGCGAAAAGCATCCATGGAACTTTTCTTTTGCTCATCAGCTTTCATTAGGATTTGTGTATTTGTGTTGCCCAAGACAACTCTTATTCTTCCAATGTGTGGCAGAAAAGAAAAAAGGTTGGACACCACTGGAATGATAACTTCTCTATCCTCACCCTTCCCCACTCCCTGGGAACCATCACTCTGCTTTCTGTTGGTATGAACTTGACTGCTCTGTGTATCTTGTATGAGTGGAACCATACGATATTTGTCCTTTTGTGTCTGGCTTATTTCACTTAGCATAATATCATCAAGGGTCATCCATGTTATCACGTGTGCCAGGATTTCCTTCCTTCTTAAGGCTGAATGATACTCTCGTATGTGTGTGTGTGTGTGTGTGCGCGCGCGTGTGCATGGATCCTATAATGTAGCCTTTTGACTGAATACAAATTTTACAGAATAAATCCTGGCTGTTATCCCAGAATTTGTCTACTCTTCTTTCCTAGAAAAGAAAACTATATGAGAAAATACAAATAAATTCCTGTCTATCTTCTCTGCTAACTGCTAGATAATATGAGCAATTTGTAATTAAACACCTTTGGGTCTAAGCAGTTGTTATTTGGCTGTTAGGATAGTTGTACCTTGGGAATAATGAGCAAAGCTGATAAAGGGATTTGTTCTATGAATTTTGAATTTAGTTGAGAGGCCGTGCTTGGGAATCTGAAGGGCCACATATGGCCTTGAGGCTGCAGGTTCCCCTCACCTAGACGGGTACATTTGTTTATGTCTATATTTATTCTTTTGACTGTATTCTGTGTTTAACAGGGAGCTTTTCAAAAAGTGTGCTTGAGAGGTAAGGATGCGATCACTTGTGGGTAAACAACTCTTTGAGCAATTATATTGTGAAGTGAAACAGAGAAAGAGGTTGTAATTAAAAAAATGATGTGAGATAAAAAGAGAGATTGTTGTTGTATTGTTTTGTTTTAAAGATGGGTGATTCCACAGCAAATTTGCTGATTCAAATAAGAGTTGTAAGTCTTATAAAACCATACAAGCAGATGTAAAAGTCATATCCTGATGTGAAAATTGATGTGTTTAGTCAAAGCTCTTGCCTAAGCATGGGAAGCCAACCTAATTTTTTTTCTCAAGTAGCAGTTTGGGTTCTACTCCAGTACAGAAAACAAATACCTCATTGAGTCCCGAGAATTCCATATCAAAAACTTTGGCCAAGTTGTCTTGGCTTAAACATTTTTCAGATCAGATATCACAGTTAGCTGCTCTATAAATTATGAATAATTCCATTTTAAACATAATCATAGAATAGTAAGATGATGGTGAAAGAAATATCTATTCTTATTTGCCAGAAGATAAACAGTGAAATAGGCTGTTTGTTATTCGTACCATGCTTAATTATTTAATGGCATATAACTTCTGGATGTTTTAGGAGACAACTGAGTAATTACTGAGCTGTGCAATTTATTTGATTTCAGTATATATTTAAATACATTTTAGAGGTAGGCAAGATAATAGAACACACTTGAATAGCTAATTGCTTTTGTCCCTGTGTTTTTCTGTATGGCGTGTTGTGCCAATCGTTTCTTTTCTTCCAATAGGTTGTGTGGTTCCAGGGGCTGGTGCAGCAGAAGTGGCAATAGCTGAAGCTCTGCTGGTGTACAAGCACAGTATCAAAGGAAGAGCTCGCCTTGGAGTCCAGGCTTTCGCTGATGCCTTACTCATTATTCCTAAGGTATAGCTATCCTAACAGCCAAATAACAACTGGTTAGACCCAAAGGTGTTTGATTACAAATTGCTCATATTATCTGATCATTAGCAGAATAGAAAGATGGGTATTTATTTGCGTTTCCTCACACAGTTTTTTCTCAGACATTTTACAACTTTTGGGATAACAGCCCAGAATCCTTGCAGGAGCTTCATGAAATAACTAAATTATCCCCTTGTTTCCTTTTCTGAACTCCAAAAGTTAAAGGAGTTCCAAAAGTTTCATTCAGAAACGGTCCATGATTAACTAATCATAATGAAAAGTGTAGAACTTAAAATTTAATTAGATCTTAGGGCAGATATTTTGTTGGTGGTAACCAAAGTGTAAAATCATTTTAAATTGTGGAAAGTGACGTCTTGAGGCTGGTTAGCATTCCCAAATACTACTTTACATTTGTTATTGTCATTATAATTACTAGAAATGGAGAGAAACCAGGTTTTTTTCCTTATGATGACTTAAGAACAGAGAACTACCATTACTTTCTCTTTGCTCTAATTTTATTGTGAACCATTTAGATACACAGAAAAACGACTTCAAATCTGCTATTACCATAAATTGAATCATTGTTAACAATACTAAAAAAAGTCTCTTTGATAACTGCTATTAGAATTATTTGTGATTTGTAGAGTCTTTGTGAGTTGGATTTCCATTTCTTTTTTCCCCAAAGCAGCAAAGTCAATAACGTTACTAAGTAATGATCCTGTTGACAGAAATTGGTAACCCCGGTATCCCCTGGTAGCACCTTTTAGCCCCATTAGCTGGTGATTTCAGACCACTTAGAAATGAGCCTGGTTTGGAGGACAGGTATCTCCACCCCTCCTGCCACAGGTCATGGCTCTCCTTGTGAGATGAGGGGCACAGAGGTGCTGCATGTACATGTACACTGGTTTCCCTTAGCAAGTTCCTGGGGAAAACTGGAGCTGTGTGGCTCAGCCGTAAACTGTGCTGCTTCCTTCTGCATTGAAATAAAATCTTTTGCAAAGAGGGAAATTAACGTAGTGGTATGGAGGTGGGAAAACTCTAACTTCCTCAGAATTTATTGTGATGTGCATAGCAGAAATGTTTAAATATAGAAACTACTAGATAGACAAAATAATAATTTGATTTAGATTAAGAATGGAATTCTTCGGAAAGGAGATATTTACTGTCTTATGAATGTGTTTTCACAAGACTAAAGAGTAGTGCTTTCTTATTATATTCAAACATTTATGTTAAGGTATCCCACACATATATTTATTGTTATTTTTATTCATAAAGGTTCTTGCTCAGAATTCTGGTTATGACCCACAGGAGACGCTAGTAAAAGTTCAGGCTGAGCATTTAGATTCGAAACAACTTGTTGGCATAGATTTGAATACAGGTAAGAAGGTGAAGAAAAATCAGCTGCTTGGTTGTTGGTTCTTGGTTATAAAGAAAGGTTATTATTCAATTATCCAGATCTTCTAGTAAAGGGGTGGAGGTTTGGGCGACTTTAATGTTCAGATATTGGGTGCCTTTAGTTTACTTTTGACCTTTAAAAAGAAAATAGTCATTCATAACTCAGCACCTGTAGCACAGTGGTTATGGTGCCAGCCACATGCATCAAGGCTGCCAGGTATTTGAGCCCAGCCCAGGCCGGCTAAACAATGACAACTGCAACAAGAAAATAGCTGGGCATTGATGGGCTCCTATAGTCCCAGCTATTTTGGAGGCTGAGGTAAGGAGAATCACTTAAGCCCAAGAGTTTGAGGTTGCTGTGAGCTGTGACACCATGGCACTCTGTCGAGGGTGACATAGTGAGATTCTGTCTCACACACACACACACAAAAAAAAAAAAAAAAAAGAAAAAGAAAATATCCATTTAAGAAATAGTTATTAAAATATTAATTTTCTTCTTGGGATTCATATGGGACAAAACACACAAAAATATCTATGCTTATGAGATTATGTTGTAGTGGGGGAAGATAGGCAGTAAATAATAACCTTAGTAAATAAAGTCCTTTAGTATTTTAGAAGGTAACAAATTCATTTTAAAGAGAGCAGTATAAGGGTGATTATGAATGCTAGTACAGGAGGGTTGGAGAGAGGATTGTAACTTAAAGAGGATGGTCAGAATAGGCTCCACTGAGGAGATTTTTATTGAAAAAAGTTGAAGGGGGCACCTGTGGCTCAAAGGAGTAGGGCACTAGCCCCATATGCCAGAGGTGGTGGGTTCAAACCAGACCCTGCCCCCCCCCAAAAAAAAAAAAGTTGAAGGAAGTGAGGAAGTTAGCCATGAGAGCAACTGAGGATAAGTGTTCTAGCGAGAGGGAATTGGTAGTGGAAAAGCCAGTGTCTGGTGTTTCTGAAGAGGAGGAGAGGAGTGAGAAAGGTGACTGAAGGTCGGAGTAGGCAGGGGCATGTGGGGCAGTGTAAGGATTTTGGCTTTTCCCATAGTAGATAGGAAGCGATTTTGAGCAAGGTGTGACATGATCAATTACATTTAACAGGATAACCCTGACTACTCTTTACTCTGTGGAGAGGAGTCAGCTGAACAACTAGAAGGTTAGAGTTTTCATCAACTGTGTTGGAGGAGGCTGCGGATGAGGACACATTAGCATTTAGTTTTGGCAAAGTCAAGGTTGAAGTGTCTGTAGTCTTTCAAGTAAAATGGCCAGTTGGACATATGGATCTGGAGCTCAAGGCAGAGGTCTAGGTGGGAGATTAAGATTGAGAATCATCAAGTATATATGGTTTAAATCCAGAAGACTGGACGAACTCACTCAGGGAGTAGGTATACAGAGAAAAGGCAACAGCCTAGAACTGAACCTTTGGGTACTCCACCATTAAGAGCACAGGAGGGAAAGGGAGGAACCAGCAAAGGAGCCACTTGGGCAAGAGAAAGAAAACCAGAGCAGTGTGGTGTCCTGGAAGACAAGATCAGTGGGCAGGAGGGTATGATCAACTGTGTTAAGTGCTAATAGATTAGGCCTGAGAAGTGACCACAGATTTAACAATGTGGAGGCCATTGATGACCTTGACAAAAGTAGTTTTGAAGGCGTATTAAATATATTAAAATATGCCAATCGGCATTAATAGATTGTAGTATTAAAATTGTTAGTTTTTACTTTGCAGGTGAGCCAATGGTGGCAGCAGATGCAGGAGTTTGGGATAATTACTGTGTTAAAAAACAGCTTCTTCACTCTTGGTAAGTTTGTCTTAACATAAGGAGAAAGTCTTTTTAAGGTGTAATTAATAACATTAAAATATTTCTATTTTTTCATCTATAGTAGAAAAATTGTCAAGTGTGTGAAAAGGTGTAGTATTCAGTTATTAAGACCAGCGTCTGTTATTTCACAGTCTCTTTATATTTTAGTTCCAGCAGTGTAAGTTAAAGGAAAGGTTAATCTTTTTGTTTATTTGAAGAGGAAAGGAAAGGAAACTTTACTGAAATAATAGCACTTGCATAGTGGGCAAAATCAAATGATATGCTACAAATAAATTCAGTTCTGTTGGAATATAAATCAGGCTTCCAGCTTATCAGCAAAGGAGTTGGAATTATAATACAAGGGGTGGTGTTTGTATTTATTGTAGTTTTGTCTCCTAAAATCTCACTCTACCATCATTGAAGAACAAAGTATCCTTCATAGCTGAAGATTGCTGGCAGAAAAGATAAGGGTGGGTTAGTAGGCTTAACTCACTCTCTCATCTTTTTCCTTAGCACAGTGATTGCCACCAACATTCTCCTGGTTGATGAAATTATGCGAGCTGGGATGTCTTCTCTCAAAGGGTGACTGAATTCAAAATCAACTCTTCTGGAAGGCAAAATTTATTCCCCTTTACATCTAACTACTATTGTATAGCCTGAGCCAATCTTAATTTTTACATAATAAATGCAGTATGTGCATTTTGGTCTTAACAGTTTTAAAAATATTTCACCAAGGTATAAAGAACATAACAAGTATTTTCACAGTAAAGGAATAATACTGGAAATATTTTCCCTGAGAGGCCTAACTCCCCACCTTTTATTGTATGGTGTTGCAGGTTCTATAAAAACAGAATCTATTATGATTCTCAGACCTTTTGGACAACTTTTAATTAAGAAAAATGTGGAGCACATGTTTTAGAGTACCTGACTCTATTTCCCTACATATGTCTATACTATACGTATTGCCAGACCTTTTCTGTGTAACATGTAACATAAAATACTTAAAATATACTAAAGGACAGAAAATAATATAGTATTGTTGCATATTATTGTGTAGTATTGTTGTTTATCAGAGGTCATGAATGTAGTAGGAGAAAATGTTTTACTCTCCCTCAAAATTCCTTCAGTAATTTCTTGCTGCCATTCTTTCGTCATCTAAATATGGCACCACTTTGTAAGTATACCTTTGGGTTTCTTTGTTTACAACATCTGACTTAATCTGTTTCGTATGTGTATATATTGTCTATAATAATATGTACCTGGCTCTTCTGTGTGTATGACCAACAATTTATGCTACTCTACTAGCTCTGGCAGATCTTTGACTCTGTGGTGGGATAGAACAAGTCTTACCTGGATAGTTAGGAATTGTTGACACCAATACTGGAAAATAATTGTTTTTAAGCAGCTTTGAATGTAGCTGTTCTGTGTAGGTATTATGGCAGTATCTTTCTTGTTCAAAACTCTAGAATTAATCTATTATACTTTTTATTATCAGACTCCCTGTAGTTAACTTATTTCTATAGATGCTAATTAATAAGAGATTAAAAAATGGCAGGTTTTTAAATGAAATTTTGGCCTGTTTGTGCTCATAGGAGAAGGTTCCTTTAACCATTTAATACCTTAGTTGAGAATCTGTAATTTTATAGCCTCACCCCCCCCTCCTTAATATGCTGTCCACATCAGTAATCGCAGTTCTGAACTATCATTTATTTATGGTTCATGACATTTCATTGTATGGCTATTACTTTACTAATTCTGTTTTCAGAGTTTTTTTTTTTTTTGCCATTGTAAACAAAGATCTTTTTAAGTTTCTGTCCCTATTCTATGGGATAGCAGACAGACATACTATACATATTGCCAGACCTTTTCTGTGTAACATGTAACATAAAATACTTAAAATATACTTAAGGACAGAAAATAATGTAGTATTGTTGTATATTCCACCTACCTTTTCATCTCTGTTCCCCTTACCTGCCCTCTCCCCCTTCTCCTCTCCTCTTCTTCCCTTCTCTCCTCTCCTTTCGGTTTTTCCTTTTCTTTCTAGACAAAGTCTCTCTCTGTTGCCCTGGGTTGAGTGTAACAGCTGGCATCATCATAGCTCATTGCAATTTTGAATTTCTGGGCTCAAGTGATCCTTTTTGCTTCAGCCTCCTGAGTAGCTGGGACTACAGTCACCCACTACAATGCCTGGCTAATTTTTTCTATTTTTGGTGGAGATGAGGTCTCCCTCTTGCACAGATTAGTCAGAAGCTCCTGGGTTCAAGCGATCTTCCTGCCCCAGCCTCTCAGAGTACTTGGATTTATAAGTGTGAGCCACTGTGTCTAAGCCTATCTGTTTCAAATAGTACCTGCCCCAGCCTCTCAGAGTACTTGGATTTATAAGTGTGAGCCACTGTGTCTAAGCCTATCTGTTTCAAATAGTAACATTTTGGCAATGTTTGCTTCTAATACAAAAGGACAGATATTGTTAGTGCAAATTCCTCCCTCCTATTCCCCATTCCCACTCTTTCTCTCTAGAGGTAATCTTTGCTTCCTATGTACTTAAAAAAATTTTTTTTTCTGGTTTTTGGCCGGGGCTAGGTTTGAACCTGCCACCTCTGGCATATGGGGCCGGTGCCCTACTACTTTGAGCCACAGATGCTGCCCCCCTTAAAAAATATATTTTTTTAATATGTAATACATGTTGTATACCTGTAACAACCAAAATATTCTTTTTGGGTTTCTAAAATGTATAAATAGTATCATTCTGTAGATACATTTTTACTGCCACTCACAGATTTTGAGATTTGTCCATTTGTTCATTTTAGCAATTTTAGAGTATTCCAGTGTATTGGTGGATCTTTTGGTTCTTTCTTTCTTTTTTTTTTTTTTTTTTTTGAGGTAGAGTCTCACTATGTCACTCTTGGTAAAGTGCTGTGGCGTCCTAGTTCACAGCAACATCTAACTCTTGGGCTTAAGCAAGCTTGCCTTAGCCTTTCAAGTAGCTGGGACTACAGGTGCCCGCCACAATGCCTGGTCAATTTTTTCTTTTTTGTAGTTGTTATTGTTGTTTGGCAGGCCCTAGCCGCTTAGCTACAGGCGCTGAGCCTTGGTTATTTCTTTTAATAATTCTATATCATTTTAGATACCATAGCAATGACTTTCCTTGCAGATGTCTCCTTAGCCATATATGTGAGATTGTTTCTAGGGATTGTAGGTGAGGTGAAGTGTGTTTCTTGTAGGCAACATACAGTTGGGTCTTACCTGTTCGTCCATTTAGCTACTCTTCACCTTTTAGTTGGAGGATTGAATCCATTAACATTCAGTATTTTTATTGATAAGAACTTAATACTGCCATTTTGCTGCTTGTTTCCTGGTGGTTTTGTAACTCCTTTCTTCCTTTTTTTCTTTCTTACTATCTTCTTAGCGTTTTAAGTGATTTTTCTCTGGTAGTATGTTGCAATTTGTTGTTTTTCATTTTTATTAAATCTGTTACAGGTTTTTGTGTTGTGGTTATCATGAAGTTTACAGAAAACATCTTATAGTTATTTTAAAGAGATGACAACTAATCTTAGATCACAAAGAAATTAGTAGAAAAGAAGAAAACACTCTTCTAGACTTTAACTGTCTGTGTCACATTTTGACTTTTAGTTGTTTCAAGTTGCATATTTTGCTATTATTGTTTTTGATATATTTGTATTTGGGGATTTATGAAAGAGAAATGTGTGGATTTCATACCACAATTACAGTGTTAGAATATTCTGGATTTGTTTGTGCACTTGAGTTTATCATTGTGTACTTAATTTTACCACTGGGTTTTATTACCCCCACCTCATTTTTTTTGTAGGGCAGGGGAGGCACATTAGTGTGTTTTTCTATAAAATCACAGAACTTGGTGGTGCCTATAGCTCAGTGGGTAGGGTGCTGGCCACATACACAGAAGCTGGCGGGTTGGAACCCAGCCTGGGCCAGCTAAAACAACAATGACAATTGCAACAACAAAAAAAATTAGCCGGGTGTTGTGGCAGGCACCTGTAGTCCCTTGGGAGTCTGAGGCAAGAGAATCGCTTACGTCTAAGAGTTTGAGGTTGCTGTGAGCTGTGACACCACAGCACTCTACCCTGGGTGACAGCTGGAGACTTTGTCTCAAAGAAAAAAAAATCACAGAACTCTCTCATTTCTTATAAGGTAGATTTGGTGTTAATGAATTCTTTCAGTTTTTTAATTTTTTTATTTTTTTGAGACAGAGTCTCAAGCTGTTGCCCTGGGTAGAGTGCCATGGCGTCACAGCTCGTAGCAACCTCAAACTCTTGAGCTTAAGCAATTCTCTTACCTCAGCCTCCCAAGTATTTGGGACTATAGGCACCT